AGCTGCTGAGATGCAGCAGATCTGCACAAATCTGGTGCATTCCTCCCACAGCGACCTCTCATCTCTTATCTAGCTTATAGCTTTGCCAGGAGGTGATCTGCCACACCATCCTCTGGTTGGCAGAGGCTTTCATCCAGAGATGAATTTGCAGCATGTTCTGCTGACGTGGCTAAGCACAGACCCTGACTTGCAGAATTATGGAATCACAGAATACCTCAAGCTGGAGCCCACAAGGCCAATCAAGTCTAAGCCCTGGCTCCACACTAGACCACCCAAAATTCAAACTGTGTTTCTGAGAGCATTGGCCAAATAGTTCTTGAAATCTGGCAGCCTCAATGAATGTATGACTTCTAATTACTCTTGTGATCCCCCCACTGTCCGCTCATAGCCTGCTTGATGTAGGACTTTCCTTTTCCAAAAGATTTCATTCACTTTCATGAGAGTTGAGTGAGACTAGTAGTAGTCATGTTTCTGTCCCTTCGGGGCTGCCAGGAGGACAGTATATGATGGGAGGTCTCCTGGTTGGGCATGGAAGCTGCCTACATGTGATAGCTTCAAATGAAGTGAAGAGGTGATTTCCGCTGTTAGTTTGGAACGGCAGTGACTAGCTGCAAGACTGGCAATGGTTGTTGCTATCTGTAGTAGTAAATAATATGAATGCCTCCTAACTGAACAGTGAGATATTTACTATACTGTTGGTGTGTATAGGAATGATGCTGCAAGTGTAAAACCTTATTTTTGTGCATTAAAAGAAAGAAAAGATGAATCCATACTTCTGTCCCGGTGACTCCAGCAAGCCTTTGTGTAAGCCAAAAGCCATATGCATGCTCTGTGAGCTCTCAGCTTCCAGCAGCTGTTTCCAGATGTATGCACTGCAATTCTGACTGATAGCATGCAAGTCTTTAACATTTTTGCACCCTGATAATTTTAATCTATCTTATTTATACAGGAATCCTTAGGATAAGAATTATCTTCTGTTAGGTGCATGCACTTTGCCTTGTAGAAAGTGTTGATACCTCAGATAGATAGATGTTGGCTGTGAGTCTGTATATTTTTGGGAAATGTCAACTTGGAGAATGATATAGCATTACAGTTTGTTCCAGTCAGACCAATGGAATATGTTGAGTACAGCAAAAACTCGCTTAAGCCATCTTGCTCCTTATCCGTAGTGCCCGAGTATTAATTTTAACATAGCCCATTTTAATCACTGCATCATCAGTCATGTAAAGACTTGCCTGCACTGTCTTGGGCTTACTTACTTCAGGATGTCAGAAAGTCCTGAATTCCAAAGCTCTGTGATTCTGTGATCTTCCAAATTGTAACTTTACATTTGGGAGGAAAGAAAATGTGTTTCGATGGTTTTTTTCTGTATGTTTATTATTGCAGCCCTTTGGAAAGTTTTACTGCTGTAATGACAGTATAACTTATCAATTATTGGAAGAGTTACAAGAGCTTTATTCATTTGCATTTGGCTTAGACAAAAGCCATGGATTAACTTTGCCCAGATGTCTATATGTGCCAGAGACCAACATGGAATGTGAGGAGTGTGGTGAGGACTGGATGGGTGAGGAGCAAAAGAGGTGGTCCTGCACAAAGCCTGAAGTTAGTACTATGGAATATTGACTTGTGTTTTATTGTGCTTTATTTCTCATGTGGTGGCAGTATTCAGGATGCATGTGTGCTTGTACAGAATTAGGCATTTTTGGGGAGAGGGGTTTGTTGTCTATGAAACCAGAGTAAAAAAGACAGAGAATTATTCTTCCTGAAAGGTAGAAAAATTGTGTTCATAGAAGAAAATGTGGATAGTAATGATACACATAATTTTTTGTTGTCATCAATTCAATAGTAAAAGGTTAAAAATTGTTTTAAGAAGGAAATGAAGGTGAAGACATCCTTTGTAGGGAGGGTCTAATGCTGTGTGACTCAAGTGTATCATTGTACCAAAGCCTGGATTGCATGTAATGTTTCTTCTGATTTTTCTCTGGGAAAATCAGTTCATTTGATTGCAGTGTTGTTCTGAAAAGGCACAAGGTTGAGTCAAGGTTTAGGTTTAGGGGCACAGTAGCTTGATGGCATTGGGATTGTGCTATCTGTTCAAGGCCTGCCCATACAGCCAGGAACCATTTAGGGTGGTCAGGGCTGTGGGTGATCTTCAGCGAAGGGTTCTCAGGACTAGATTTACACTAAATAACAAAAGCTGAAGGGAAAATTGTGATTCATGAGTAATTCTGGTTCACATTAAAGTGATAAAAATAGCTGCTGGACATCTTAATTTAAAAACTAGAAAATAAAGGTATCCAATCTGGAGTACTTTTAACCTGTCCACTTTTCTTTTTAGAGCTATCTGAGCTACTCTCTTCTGCTCAGAATAAATATATATAATCCAAAGAGATAACCAAAAAGATTCAGCTGTCAAAACTTCTTGTTGTGTAAACATAAGCTTTTTTAGGAAATAGTGTCATTCCTATTATGTTTGTCTTCTCTGCTCTGCCAAAACATGTTCCTGGAAGTTTTCATTTTCTGATTTTAGGCAAGATGCAAGAAATGGAAGTAAAATACTGGGAAACCCTTTATATGTTGCAGTTTTACATCGTAAAATGTATTACATCATTCATTGCAATTCATCTCAGCATCATAGAATCTTCTGAGTTGGAAAGGAACTTTAAAGATCATATAGTTCAACTCCCCTGCAGTGAACAGAGACATTTACAGCTAGATCAGGTTGCTCAGTGCCCTGTCTAGCCTGACCTTGAGTGTCACCAGGGATGGGGTATCCACCACCTTTCTGGGCAATCTGTTCCAATGCCTCACCGCCCTTATTGTAAAAAAAACTTCTTCTTTATATCCAGTCTAAATCTCCCCTCTCTTAGTTTGAAACCATTTCCCCTTGTTCTATTACAATAGACCTGCTAAAGAGTCCCTTCTTTCCTACAGCCTCCCCTTAGATACTGAAAGGCTGCTCTCAGGTCTCCGTGGAGCCTTCTCTTCCCCAAGCTGAACAGACCCAGCTCTCTCAACCTGTCCTTGTAGGAGAGGTGTTCCAGCCCTTGGATTATATTGGTGACCCTCCCCTGGACATGCTCTAACAGGTCCAGAATTCTCCTGTACTGTGGACTCCACATTTGGACACAGTACTTCAGGTGAGGTCTCACCAGCACAGAGTAGAGGGGCAGGATCGACTCCTTCGACCTTCTGACCATGCTCCTTTTGATTCAGCCCAGAATAGGATTGGCTTTCTGGGCTGTGAGGGTACATTTCTGGCTCCTGTCCAGTTTCCTATCCACCAGCACCTTCAAATAATTTGTAGCAGGGCTGTGCTCCATCCTTTCATCCCCATATCAGTAGTAGGGGTTGCCATGACCCAGGTGCAAGACATTACACTTGGATTTGTTGAACCCCAGGTGGTTCACCTGGGCCCACTGCTCAAGCTTATCTGGGTCCCTCTGGATAGCATTCTGTCCCTTGGGTGTATCAACCTCACCCCACAGCTTGGTGTCATCAGCAAACTTGCTAAGGGTGCATTGAACCCCACTATCATTGTCTTTGATGTAGATATCGGTCCCAGCACTGACCCCTGTGGGATGCCACTTATCACTGATCTCCATCTGAACACTGAACCATTGACCACCACTCTCTGAGTACAGTCTTGCAACCAGTTCTTCATCCATCAAACAGTCCACTCATCACATCCATATATTTCTAATCTGGGGGGAAGGATTTTGTGGGGGACAATGTCCAAGGTCTTACTGATGTGCAGATAGATGACATCAGTGGTTCTTCCCGTGTCCACTTACACAGTTACATTATCATAAAAAGCAACAAGATTGATCAGGCAGAACTTACCCTTGGTGAAGCTGTGCTGGTTATCCCATATCACTTCCCTGTCTCCATATGCCTTAGCACAGCTTCCAGGAGGATCTGCTGCATGATCTCCCTGACGCTGAGATGAGGCTGACAGATCGATAATTCCCAGGGTGATCTTTTTCTACCCTTCCTAAAAATGGGTGCTACATCACCTTTTTTCCAGTCACCAGGGTCTTCATCTGAGCAGTATGACACTTCAAATATCATTGAGAGTAGCTTAATGACTACATCAGCCAGTTCCCTCAGGACTCTGTGATGAATCTCATTGGAACTCATATACCTATGAATGTTCAGGTTCCTCAGGCTGTTGCGAACCTCATCTTTGCTCACAGCAGGAGGAGCAATACTCCTCCAGTTCCCACCTTCTGAACCATTCACTCAAAGGCTGTGTGTAGAGCAGTCACTGGTGAAGACTGAGGCAAAACGTTGTTGAATACCTCAGCCTTCTCTTTGCCTACTGTTACTAGCTTGCCTGTGTTTCTCACTAGGGAGAGTACACTCTCCTGGGCTTTCCTTTTCCTGTTGATGTAGCTGTGGAAGCCTTTCTTATTCTTCTTTGCACTCCTTGCAAGTCCACTTCCAGTTGGCCTTCCTGACCCCATGCCTGCACAGCATAGCAGCATCCTTATATTCCTTTCAGCTTACTTGTCCCTGCTTCCACTGCCTGTGCATTTTCTTTTTGCTGTCCAGTTTAACAAGCAGGTCCCAGTTCAGCCATGCTGGTCTCTGGCCTTCCTTTCCTGACCTCCTACACCATGATATAAAGAGCTCTTGTATCCTAAGGAAAGCTTCCTTCAAGATCTGCCATCTGCATGCCGATCTCATGTCCCTGAGGACAGATTCCCAGGGGGTTTTGTTGACCTTGAGGAGCTGGAAATTGACTTTCCTAAAATTAAGCTTCCAAAATTCCACAATTGCTCCAGTTGTTCAATAAAATGTCACTTAACAGACCAGTGAGTACATATGCATTAAGTTCTATGCAAAGAAGTCAACATTATTTGAAGTCTATCCATATGCTGTTACTAGGATGTTATGGACATGGATTTTCCCATCTTGTACGTTGGCAGAAATAGAGTGACTCCAATTTCTGCAAATGCTCTATATTGAATAGATATGCTTTGTGCTTGACTTTTCAGATCCAGAATGCGAATGATGTGCTCATAGCACCACTGGAGAAGTTCCGTAAAGAACAAATAGGAGCAGCAAAAGTAAGTGGTTGTTGAAAGAACTCTTTTTCATTTCCTCTTTATTTATGAATGTATTTTGAAAGCTGGACTGAAAGCAGGCATATGTATTCAGATATGTTTGATGCCATCCTCATAATCTCTAGTAAGTTAGATGGAATTAGTTGCTTCAAAGAAGGAGGTGATTGAGATTTGGAGTTAATGACTGAGCACATGTAAAAGGTTCAGCTTTTATTGTGAATACTGCACATTCTTACCATCTGAAGTTGCATTTCTTTCTTGATGTCTGCATTTGTGTTATGTTGCATCTTGAGCATCGCAGAAGCAAACGAGGATTCAAACATTTACCATGGCTGCAGTGACCCTGAAGTGAATCTCTGTGCTGCAGGCATACTGTTTGCATCTGACTTTCCTCTGCACCTCATGCAATTGATGCACCGTGATGATTGCTATCTGTATATTGCTCAGAGATTTTCCCCTGGTGAAAGTGCTGCAGTTGGTGATTTGAGCCAATTCTTACATGTGTGTTAGTGAAATAGTGCTGACTGCCTCTGTGCGGGCTCAGTAGTCAGAAAATCAGACGTTATTGGGGAAAATGATGTCTAAATTAACTTAGACTAGAAGAGCTATTTTCAGTCTGATCCTGGATTTTTAAGTGTTTTCCTGTGACCACGTTGATCACGGAGGTGCATAAAGTCTGTGATAGTCAATTAGAGATATAGCTAAAACCTTTTCTTCTGTCTACACAAATATGCTAGTTCTGAAACATTTTGCATCACTCATAAAATTTTATGGGAAGCTTTCCATCTGTAAGGTTAAAGGAAAATCTTTGATATTGTAGCTGAAGTTGTGTCTGTGCTGTGCTAAAGCAGCCTCAGAGGGAGAGCAGAGATGTTGGAGAGAATTGAGACTTACGCTTTTTGTACTGCTGATACTGCTGATGGGAATGTGTAGAAAACAGATGAAACTGCTTCCGCACAGGAACTAAGTAAACGTTTGAGAAGAATTTTTGCAGTGAACCTGAGGTCAGCTTTCTCTGAAATTGATGGGTTTTAACTTCTCACTTGATATGTTTTTGTGTACAACAGCATTCTTTTCTTGTCCCACCCTGCTGCTGTAAGATGCAGGGGTGGGAGTTTGTTTACTGTGCTGCACAGATCAAAATGTAATCACAGCACAGAACTATTTTTAGTTCTCAGGAGGCTGTAGTTGTGTTGTTCAGTTCTTTGTGCTGCCATTTCATTTTGTATTCCTACCGCTTAAGGGATATCATTCTTCTCTGCTGAGAACTCTGTTTGAAGCTTAACCTGCTGTGCTGTTGATGGTTCTGGTACATTAGAAAGAAGATCTGTAGGCAAATCATATAGTGCAGAAATATATATAAGACAATTCTGTCTCCTTAGATTGTATCACTCAGGAGATATCAGAATATTTAAATGGTCTAATTGAAGATAACTCCTTTGTTTTTTGAATCAGCAATTGTTCAACATTAATTCCAGAGCACTACAGAACACACCAAGTCCTCTCTATTCAGTTTATCACAAGGGCTAGTTTCTCCTCGCTATATCCACTCCAGGAGAAGAAAGACATTTAACCATTTTATAATATTTGGGGAAACAGTTTGATTTATGAGTGGTCACACAACAGTGTGCTGAATGAGTACAGGGGAACCTGGATCTGCTACTCTCTCTCTTTCCCATGCCTAATGCATTTTATTCTGAAATGCTATGTGTGCGCTGTAGGATATTGGCTTGACACATTGATCCCATATAGAGACCTCTTACAGCTCACTGTTTTATAAAATGTCAAATAAACTATTTGCTTTCACTGCTCATGGAACTCAATTTTCAAGTTAAAAAATGAGAGATTCGGGCCACCCACAAATAGAATCATTAAGGTTGGAAAAGTCCACTAGGATCGTATAATACAACTGTCAATCCATCACCAGCTTGCTTACTAAATCATGTCCTTCAGCTCCACCTCTCTGCATTTCTTGAACGTCTCTGTGGATGATGACTCCACCGTCCCCCTGGGCAGCCTGTTCCAATGCATTACCAGTTTTTCAGAGGAGAAATTTTTGCTTATATACAACCTGAACCTCCCTTATCTCAACTTGAAGTCATTACCCCTTGTCAGTTTCATATCAAGCAGTTTCATACATATCCCACTGAATTGATTTTATAGAAAAATAAAAATTTCTCCAATAGAAATAGAAACATGCAATCTAGAAATAACAAGACCAGTCTGAAATATAGGAGATATTTGGGTATTTTTTTTGAAATTCATTTTTAGTGAAATAGAGAACACAATCGGAGTACTTACCTCTGTTGCTGTTCACTTGGTTATAGCCTTGAGAATTTTTGAACTCGTGTAGATATAGAACGAGTTTAGGCTGCTATTTATGTATCTGTAGAGATTCAACTCTTTGAACTCCTCTGGAGTGTTGTGAATTGATAGCAAACAAGAAACTTGAACGTGTTCATATTTGGATTTCTACACCAAGTTTCACAGAACACTAAGAATGTCATTTTTTATTTGAGATATTCTGTAAAGGCGTCTTCTCTAAACAAGTGTTACTATCTGTTCTATATTACCAGGTTTGAGCTTGCTTTTCCCTGCTATTAAGTTAAAACAGTGTAGAATTGCATAGTGAAACACAAATACACTTCTATTTCTTTGCCATCTCTCTCCTCTTTAAAAAACCCCAACATTAAATCTTTCGTGAGTAGTGAATTTAGAAGTAATTTGCATTGTACCACTTCATGGTCTGGCATTTTAGAGATTTGGCACAGAACAATAGGATTAATTCTATCCAACTTTGAAATGGAATTTCAGCAGTTAGAGATGCAAGCAGTTGGTCTTTGTGATCAGCCTTCCATTTTAAGAGCATATTTTATAAGCAGTAGTTGTATTATTTATTTCTCTTCTAACTAAGCTTTGAAATTATTCATTTTTGTACTTTGTTAAGCTGTGTTTCACAACTTCTTTTAAAGCAAAGAATTGTTAGCTATCTTACTAAAGTGTGTAATAGGAAATATTGCTAGGCATCAGTTTCAGGTTTTGGTAAAGGGAATGTGAGAAGACAGAGTGCTTTAGAAGAAGACTTTCTCAGCTTCTTTCTTTCTGAAATACTAGGTGAAGCTCAGCTGGAGAGAAAAACAAGCTGTTCTCCCTTGCTGCCCCACCACATACATGCATACACACACACAAAAGATATTAATAATGACATTTTTCATTAAAATGACCATCATGTTATAATAATAAAAAATAACTTTGCAAGATTTTGCTACTGTAAATGCTGTGTTTAATATGAAGAATGAAAATGTTATATATATTCTTTTTTTCAAAACTACAAGAAGTTTAGGCGAAACATATGATTGCAGAAATCAAAGAGAATATGGAGGATAAAATATATCCTGTTGACATTACAAAACTATACTTCAAATACAAGGACAGCATAAACTCAGAGTACAAAGTTCAAGTGTTTTAGAATGCTACAAGAATAGCATTAAAGACCAATTATTCATACACACTTCAAAAAGCTGAAGGTACACAGCAAATTTGGGAAGTGCTTCCCATTAAACATTAGTACTTGTAATCAAACTAACAATATACAAATCTTCATTACTTGCTCTTTTGGATTTATACTTCTTGTTCCTCTGTTTTTATTGCACATATTTTAGTTCTTCCTTTTCTGTACACACTCAGTTTAAGTAGAGCTGAGTTGTCTCCAGAGACTACACAAACGCGGCTTTGCATTGGATAGCCTGTTGATTTACTCCATCTGAGCATGAAAAAAAAAAAAAATGACCTCTGCAATTATTGTACAAATCCTAGCAAAAGCCCGGTGAGCTAACTGGGAAAAGATTTCAAGCACGAAGCACTTGGCCTTTTTTGGTAAATGTGGTCTGCAAGTCCCCAGCTGGTAACGGTGGTGAGATCATTGTGTGATGGGCTGTGTGCAATAAAGCCAAACTTTCATGGCTCTTTTTATTCATCCAGTACAGTATTTAGCAATATTTCTTCCTATGTTTGTTGACCTTCAGAGTAGCTTAAATCAGATCAAAGGAAACAGAAGCAATTTTGTTTTTAAGACTTAAAAGAAGCATTTTGTTTCTTCATAACAGTTCCATCTGTTTGTTTCATAAAGTTATTTATTTTGGCCGGAAGGGTTATTTTTTTTATTATTATTTACTTTCATTCATTCATTCATTCAAAGCTGTGAATTCCTTTCGACTTGGGAAACAAATCCATGTTTGTTGCTGGATTAATTTTCTTCCATCTGTGTTTGCCTCTATGCTCAATTGATGTAGGTGTGCAGCCACTGTTTGTTACTTGTATGGCCTCAAAGCTGAGGAGCATAACGTAAGATATACGCATATATTTAAGTTCGTCAGAGAGCTCTGAAAACAGAGTTCTAGATAGGTATCCAAGAGCTCTGAGATACATCAGAATGACCATTCAGTGAACTGTTTTCCTTAATACCTGATCAAATGATAGCAATTGTTGGAAATCCCAGCATTCCTTTCACAGTGAAAAACAAATGACCTTGCTCCAGCGGGTAAGGCAGAATGTGTTTCATTACAAGCTGCATCTGCGGCTCGTGATCTGGTGCTTGTGTCCCCTGGTTTTGGAGCATTTTACTGTCAATCAGAACTGGAGAGGGAAGGAGACTGGGGAGGAAGCAGGAACAGCCCAGGCCAGGAGGACTGATGGCCGACTGTTTTGAGTTGAAATGCAACACAGATTTCCAAAAATGTGCCAGAGTTACCTGATATCCTTTTTGATAAAGTAACTGATTCTGCAGGCAAGGAAATGGAGTGGATTAAACCTCTCTCCGTTTCAGTAGGACACTTAAAGCACACTGCCTGAGACAATTTAGCTTTGATAGGGATTAGTATAAGAAACATGATATGTGAAAGGAACTGGCTAATTGAGGTAGGGCAGTGAGTCTTGTTTGTGGGGAAGACTGTCTGGTGAGAATGAAGTTACTAATTAGAAGATCCCAACGGACAACTTGAGAT